GTTTAAGTCTATCACCAGATACCCATAAGGTTTTTTAGTGGCATCCTCAAAAGCTTCTAGAAAGAACTGGGTCTTGCCCGGGTACATCTGTCTTGCCAGAGATACCACCTGCAGCTTATCCCTGGGGTTTTTAAACAAAACTATGTATTTTGTGTTGAGGGTGATGGTGCAGCTCCTTTTCCCTTGGCAGAAAACATTCTGAACTATATACATGATGTTAGGTTCCTGTGATGTACATACTTGGTAAAGGCTTTCTCAATTTCACCTCTCTCACAAGCAGAGTCCATCAAGTCATCCACCACAACCATATTTACTTTATTCTGGGGAAACAAGCAGTCGTCATTAAGACTCAGCGGCACCCCCTCCACAAATTTGATAAAAGGGTATTTACGAAGTAATTCTTTATACAAAGGTTGCCAACAGCTATAACACCACATGATATTCTCAGGCATAGGAGACAACAAACTATCAGCATTATCTAACAGGTTTTTTATAAAGAAACTTTTGCCACAGTTGCTAGGCCCTGCAAGAATCACAGAAAAGGGATGCTTCTAACGCATATCCATATTCAAAAACTGTGGGGGTGGGACTTGAAGTTTTCTGCGGGGACCCTTTTATCATAAACAACTTTCTGTGCTTTCTTAATAGTCTTGGTTTTGATCATCCAGTGTTGTTTATTCCTGACAATCGGGTTCAGTTTTACTGCAATGGTCTTAGGGATGTCCCTGGTAGGGTTTGCCCCGTAGTCAAGAACCAGGTCTTTCAAGCTCTCAAAATTGACTTTTTCACAGTTGGCCATGTTCAGGGTAATCCCCATGACTTTTAAAGAGACCTTTCCTCCCGACAGCTTATACCCATAGGTTTTGGGGCCTGCTGACACAAACTCTGCGATATGCTCATCTGGCAGGATCTCGCTTGTGAGGTCGCCTAAATAATTGCCAAGCGGGGGGTTCTGGTCTCTCTCATGGCTCACGAAAATCACAGAGGCAGTATCGTGGTATAGACACTGGTCTTGCAGGCTGTCTAACAACTCGTACAACTCTAAATGTGCATATGCTGTAGTGAAGCATGCTATGAAGATGTTAGTGTTGCCTGACAATGTGTAATGCTTTTTGGCGTGCTTCCAAGACACGCAGGCCGTCTCATCATCGATAAAGTCACAGGAGGAAATGTCATAGGCAGGGGAGAAGAGATAGCCAAACAGATCTTTGGGGTCTCTCACAATACTGGTGCTTGGGAGATTTGTTCTCTGGCTGAATTTACCCCACAAAGAATTTAGAAATAATTTTGCAATTTGCCATTTTGCAGGGTTTGGTTTAATACGCTCAGGTCGCAAAGACACACCTTCTTTTTGCAAGAAATTGGCCACGTATTGTTATTGCTTTTCTTTGTCAGTACACCAGGTGGGATACCCCGAGGCTTCATGTTTCTGTCAGAGGTGGAGGGCTATGTATTTTTCAAAAAGTGTGTTACTTATCTCTGGAAATTGCCAGCCCTCATAGATTTTAGCTACTTTATACCCCTTTGTGATACCTTTGTTCAATTCAGGTGTTCACCAAGTGCCCAGGAGGGCCCTTTCCTCGTCCGTGTGACTACATTTTGGCTGGTTTGTTTCTGCGCAGGTGCGGCACAGTGGGAACAGGAGTTTCCCATTCACCCTCACAGGTAACACCGGGAAAAAGAGCCCATGTGGCGGGTACAATTTCACCTTGGCCAACCCAAAATACCTCGACAGGGGTCCAAAATTGTTGTGAATGATTTTGTGGTGCCCTATAGGGTATTCCTTTGTTTTGTTGATGAAGGGGTAGAGACTGGTAAAATCATAATAGTGAATTTGCTCACCCAGGTTAGCTTTGTAATATAACCAGACGGCATTAGTCCTCCCCGCAAAGAGAGCATCCTTAGGTGTCAAAGGAGAAGGCAACTGGGCTCTGCTTAAGAAATCAGAGAGCTCCTCATCTGATTGTAACAAAATCCTCCACTCATGCTCCCAAATGGTCCTGACGGTAAACCCCACTCTCTTAAGGTAATCAGCCTTGTACTGCATCTGATAATTCAGAAACCCATAAGTTGTCCCTGTCAAAGGGTTCCACTCATTTTCATTGTAGCAGGTGACACAGCCATGGAAAAAACAACCATTAAATTCAAAGGCTGTGGGTTTTCCATCAATGATGGCATAGCCATCTAAAACATAACCCCCCACCTGAAATTCCCCACCCTGTAAGGCGTGCTGAATTTGAATATTTTCTTTTTCAGAGAGATACATGAGCCACTGGATAGCGGGGGTTGAAAGTATCTTTGTCTGTCTGTGATAGTCGTCTGGGGGAAGTAGTGCAATGGTCTGGTCTTTCAAAAACATAAATCTGTACATGGCCATGCACACAGAAGCCAGCATGATATACTGGAAAAGGTCTATGCAGAGATTTACATGTTTTAGTTTACCCTCCTTTTTCACCATCTCTACCTGCCAAGTCATTTTCATGATCTCGTTCCTATAGAGGCGACAGGCCTCCTTCAAAATTTTTACATCCCCCTGACAATAGTAGGCCAGCTCTTTTTGTATATCAAAGGTCTTATCACAGTTGTCCTGGTACCAATCTAAAAATTGCTCTCTCTCACCAGGCATCATGCTTTTAACCCCATAGTACTCTGCTTCAGGGAGAGGGCCCACACAATTCTGATTTTCCCATGTGTTAAAAAAATGTGGGAAATGACCTTTGCATTCTTCAAAACCCATGGCCTGGGGGAGTTTGCTAAGTTTCATAGGCAAAAAGTTTAAAGAATCTATGAAACAGATATCCAGGCTGGTGACTTCTATGCACATGAGTTTACCTC